TCTTTGTTTTTCTTTTCATACCTGGATGTTCTGCACAAACTGAAATTGTTACAGGCTACCCCTCCCTGGCCAGGGCAGGACAGGCCTGGCCAGAGGTAGAGCCTGCTTGACTTTGACATGGGGCCTGCCTCCTTACTCCCATTCCTTAGACACGGCCCCAGAGTGTCACGTGCAGTGTGTAAGTCCCCCATGGTTGCTAACAGGGGGCTTTCTTCCTCACAAGTGGTGAGAAGGGGGGGAAAAACATAACCAGACACTACTGTCCTAGATCAGCGGTTACCAAATGTTGTTGACTCAGCTTCCCAGTAAGAAGTGTATGTGACTTGGTGATCAGTAAACGTGTACACACAACTATACAAATACAGATTTCACTATACATTACTGCAGATGTATTGTAGTCTATTCTATTTGGTTCTAGTTTGTTCCATTCTGTTCCATTAAAACAGTACTACTTATGATCCGTTCCATTAATTTCATGACCCATGAATGTATCTGGCCCACAGTTTGAATAACAATGTTTAAAGTACAGGCTGGGCACAGTGGCTCATGCCTGTATTCCCAGCACTTTGGGAGGCCGAAGTGGGCAGATTACCTGAGGTCGGGAGTTCAAGACGAGCCTGGCCAATATGGTGAAACCTCATCTCTACTAAAAATACAAAAAAAATTAAAAAAAGTTAGCCTGGCATGGTGGCAGGTGCCTGTAATCCCAGCTACTTGGGAGACTGAGGCAGGAGAATCACTTGAACCTGAGAGGCAGAGATTGCAGTGGGCTGAGATCCCGCCACTGTACTCCAGCCTGGGCAACAGAGCAAGACTCCATTTTCAAAAAAAGAAAAAGTAGATTTAATAAACTTATTTTTTTTTTTTTTTTTTTTTTATATATTTTTTACTCTTTCTTCCTATAATATGGGCTCTTGATTGCTTTTCTTTTTGTGCATTGATGTTTTTTATTTCTAAACAGGGAGTTGATTTTTATTCCCTAGGTGGTTTTTAATTTTAAAACAAACAAACTTGGCCTCATTCATATATATATATTTTTACTCATTTTCCCATGTAATTTTTCTCATTGGTTTTCTTTCCTGGGAGTGTTGGCATATATATGTATATACACACACAAATATAGATGTGAATACACAAACACATGCACACATTTCTATAAATGAAGATTCTTCCCTTATTGTTTTGCATTCCTTAACACTTAAACACCTCACAGTTATTTGTTTTTTCAAAAAAGCACTTCGTATTCTTGTCTTCAGATGAGATGTAGATGTTTTTCTAAGAAAGCCCCAACTCTGAAACTTACTACACAAGTAAAATCAAGTCACAGCCTTCTCCCTCCTATTAGGAACGTTAAATGTAATTTTTCCTGGCCTAAGAAACTTGAGTATTCTATCCTTTTTATATTTCCATTTTGAAAGTTTTCAAGTAAACCATTTTACTGCTCCAAACTGTTACACGAAACCCAGAAAAATGCTTGAAAGTGAGATGTGGTGCCGGCCTCTCTCTCTCGTGATCCTTCCAAGCTCAGCCTGACACTGTCCTGTGTAATCACTGATGGCACCCACAGGGTTCCCGTGGGTGTGTCCTGAAGATGTCTTTTGTTTGTTTGTTTCCCCTTTGGAATTCCAGCACTGCTAAGTATGAGATATGTTGAAATTAGTGTCTGGTTTATAAAAAAAACGATCAGCAGTTTTAGACCTTTCTTATTGTAAAATGCCAAATGGTCGGAGCCTTTTGATCCAAGCCTGAGAAAATTTCTTCAGTTAATAAATGTTGGGAGATGCCTGGTGCGGTGACTCACGCCTATAATCCCAGCACTTTGGGAAGCCGAGGCGGGTGGATCCTTTGAGGCCAGGAGTTCAAGACCAGCCTGGTCAGCAGGGTAAAACCCCATCTCTACTTTAAAAAAAAAAAAAAAAAAAAAAAAAGGTGTTGCATGCCTGTAATACAAGCTACTTGGAAGCCTGAGGCATGAGAATCACTTGAACCCGGGAGGCAGAGGTTGCAGTGAGTCGAGATTGCATCACTGCACTCCGACCTGGGCAACAGAATGAGAGTCTATCTCAAAAGTAAATGGAGGGAGATGGCCACAATGAAATGACTAAGTTGGGAATTAAACGTCAGTTTGATGTTGACAGTGCAGAGGCCTGGGCAGAAGACTTTCAGGACCCAGGTAGTCATGAGTCGGTGGTAGTAGCTTCCTGAGCAAGGGAGGCGTCCCAGTAGTCAGTGTAGGGTGTGGGGAATCATAGAAAGCAGATGGAGGGAGTGAAAAAATGGAGGGGGAACTTAGAATGTCTACAAGCTCTTCCCAGTGAATATGTTGAGCCAGGACCACCAGTGCATTCGAGTAGATGATCATTTTATCTTCACTCACCCCATCTGTTTGCTGGAGGCCCTTCCCATTGCCGCTGTTGGGGTTGAAAATCAATCAGATTTGGTTCAATGAAAGACATTGTACAGCCAGTTTCGTTCTCTTTTCTTCTGTCCAAAGGGAGATTTTCGTGATGCTGTCTGCCATTTATTGAGTACCTGTAGTGTGGCCGCTGCTCAAGGTATTTTATGTTCCGCCATCTCTGAGCTTCCCACCTCTCTGTAAGTGGGTCACTGATTTACCAGTGAGGAAGCCAGGACTCTCCATGGCGCTATGATTTGTGCAGGGCCACTCAGGAAATGTCTGTGTGGCTCCAGACCGCCTGTGCTTACTGTTCTTCAGCCTGCCTCTCTGCACCTGGATCAATGACCTTGTAAATGTACTGCACTGTCCTGGGGGTTTATTCCGCTTAGCTTTTGTTTTTTATTTATTTATTTATTTATTTATTTATTTATTTATTTATTTTGAGACAGAGTTTCGCTGTTTTTGCCCAGTCTGGAGTGCAAATGGCACGATCTCTGCTCACGGCAACCTGTGCCTCCTAGGTTCAATCTGCTGAGCTTTTAAATGGTAGGATACATTAATATGGGTATACAAGGGTACAGTAAACAAGACACATAGGTTAGGGTTAGGAGAAACCATATTCTTGACTTAACGGTTATTTCCTTGAGAGGGCCAACCGGTTGTCCTTCATTTATTCGGCTTTTTTTTTTTTTTTTTTTTTTTTTTTTTAATTTAAAGCATCAGATTAAATGGTCCCACTCTGAAAGCCACCATGATGAAAACAAAAGCCATTGGGTTTCCAGAATTGAGATAATATCATTGCAGAAATGTTTGGGTCATGTGTCAACCATGGCTCTCAGTGTAGCTATTGCTGGTTTGGAGCCTTGGGTACAAGGCATCAGAAAGGCAGGTGCCACTGGCCCAGGGCTCCACCGGGAGCCTTTAGTGGAATCAGCCTAGACCCCTACTGTTGGTTGATAGGACTTGGTAGTTTGTTTTATGTTATCCCAATTTGATAGTTACCTGTCTCCTCTCCTTCTTCCCAAACCTCTCCACCCCTAGCTTTTGGCTTTCTTCTGCACAGCTCTTTTCTAAAGGAGAGGATAAAGATTCCAGGGCAAATTATTGAGTGACCCGCCTGATTTACTTGGAAAGTCTCACTGTTCCCCCTGAATCATTCTGGGTTTGAGAATGTGTGTGTGAAAGAAAAAAAACACATAGGAATGTTGAATTTTCCAAAGTTGAACTCTTTCAGGTCTTTAAACATCCGGTCGGTTAAACTGGGAACATTGATATTTTAAGCATAGAGTGTCCAGTCAGACCATGACCTGCATCTGGGGGTGAGGCCTGCACGTGGGGGTGGGTGACCAGGGTGGTCAGACGTTCCAGCCCCTGGAGCAATTCCAGGGCTGGAGCAATTCCTCTATTCTCATTGCACCAGAAAGAGTTAATTCCAGTTGCACGGCTTGCTGATGTTGTTGATAGTAAAGTATTTTAATGGGCTCCGTGAATAAGGTTTGTAAGGAAATGACTTGGGTGAACCGATGACTGAAACACCGAATTTTTGAACTTTTAAAAATATTTTAGGAGGAACTTATTTTTACAGCTCCTTCAATGGGATTTTCTCACATTGTCCCCTTCCCCCATGCTAGTTAAACAGCTTCTTGTTTGCTTTCTAAATGTTCGAGGGCAACATCAATCTTACTGTTGGCTGAAAGCAGGAGGTGGGCACGAGTTTATGTAATTTAACTGCTTTTCTCTGCAAATCAGTAAATATTTACAAATGACTTTATCAAACAGTTTGGGTACATTCGGTCACTTGAAAGTGTGCAGCCAGAGGAGTGACTGCCCGTGGGCCCGCTGCCAGTTCTGGGGGTGGGGGTGGGGGGGCCTCAAGGGAAGGACTCACATTTTTAAAAATAGGCAGGAAGTGGGCCTCACAGGAAGCCTCCCTCTCTCCACCGAAGAGTTTTAGAAAATTTGCATTTTAAAGTTTGACTTCTTTAAAATTCAACTCTTCGTGCCTGGAGTTGATTGCTGGATTCTGAGTTAGCCTCACCATTGTTGCTGAGTTCTTTTGTTTCTTAGGGAAGGTAATGACAGAATTCCCTCCCAAGAGTAAATGAGTAAATTGGAAAAAACAAGCGGATTACTTTTCTGTGTTTATAAAATGGTCCCAGTGTCACATGGCTTTAAACAGAACTACATTTTTACAGCAGAGATGGACTTTGGGATGTCTCAGCCCTCTTTTTTCTCCCTAACATTAGAAATCTGACACAGTTAAACTCATCTTTAGAAGAGAATGCGCATGTGCTTCAAAGTTGGCACTGAAAAATAATGAGATTCTCATTTTCTTGGTAGTTTGGATATGAAAATTGCAATATTGTTGTATCACCATAATCTGGTAATAATATGTCATTTTGCCTATCAAACATAATGTAAGTAAGACTGAAGTGCATTTTATGGAGTTCTATTGTCAGTATAATACTTAAGGCTGGCAAACAGTCAACAAATAAATGAAAAGCTTTTAAGAATAAATAAGCGATAATAGCTATACATCTACTTATTGCAAAGTACTTAATAATTCTGTATTAATGCTTTTGTCTTTTAATTTTCTTTGCAGAGTATTGGGAAAGGGTCGTTGTGGTGCATAGACCCAGAGTATAGACAAAACCTAATTCAGGCTTTGAAAAAGACACCTTATCACCCACACCCACACGTGTTCAATACACCTCCCACCTGTCCTCAGGCATATCAAAGGTAAGCAACTCAGACTTCTTTTTTTGGTCTACTGAAATGGCATTATTTTGGCAGAGACCCGCGCGGAAATTAATAGGCCGTATGAGATTTTAAAAATAACTGCAGGTAAATGAGAAGGAAATTAAGTATCATTAGGAGGCATATCCATGGTTGTATTTCCTCCAAACCTTACCGCTTCTGCAGCTTCGGAGGAATGTGCTTCCAGGAGGCTTCGTTGTGGGTGACATAACACCTTCCTGAGTAGAAACATGGACAGAGAAAAGCTGACAGCTTTCACATCTCGATGTGTGTCACGTTTTGTGGGGATAGAAGTACAGGCTCGAGTCAAGCAGGTGACTCCATCGTCCCTTCCTCTGGCCGGTCTCTGCAGATGTCCAGTCGGGGCTAACTCGGCTGTTGGCTTTCACAGTCTCCATGTGGACGGCGCTCCCAGGTGATGGTTTTGTTGTGGTTACTTGGTGTTTGCTTCTTCAAGAAGAACAGCAGAGAAGCATAGAGACATTTTCTCCTCCTCACAGGCCTATTTGTTTGAGACAGTAAGGTCATGGGTACCATTTTTACAAATACATCATTGGAAGGGAGTGTAAGTAGCCTGTCACTTTTTAAAAAAAAAAGTATCTCAATGTTAGATTCCAAAAGAGAGCCAAATAATCAGAACCAAATTTCTAAGATAGATTTTTATCAACACACAGTGTTTGAGTTTGAAATGCATTCCTCAATTCTACAAAAACGTATTTAAAAATGTATAGAAATGTTTCTTTCGTAACCACCTAGTTAAGAGGAATTATCCTTGGACTGCAAGTCGAGGTTAATTGGGGATGGCATGGTGTCATAGGCTTCAGGAATTCTGCAGTCCACTTCTCTGCAGATTCTTTTCCTAGTCTGCTGTTTGTTCTGCAGGAGGGAGCACAAAATGATCTTCTGAAATAGCATTAATGAAGTTCTTATGCATCTCAGTTGAGAAGCATTCCATCACAGGCCCTAGACAATCAGTCTTTAGCAAGAGACGGGGAGGAACAGCTGGGCTCTCTGAGAAGACTGCTGTATGTCTGCCTTTGCTAGGCGATTAGCGTGATGGTACCCATAGCAACTGGAGCGTCTCCATAGCAACGCGTAGCCGAGACAGGTGCAGTTGCATCACAAGGCTGTTTGTTGCCTGGCAAAAGGACAGGCCATTAGTACTTAGATATACGCTGTTGCCTTAGAAACAAATAACCCTACCTAGCAACTACAGTTGGTTTGAAAGGCTTGGCGTGGGGTGGGGTGGGGGGGGGAAGGTTGTAGCAGCTTTTGTCTGTGCTCATAAAAATCAGTGGAAGCATACTTTATTCAAAATGACAACTTGAGGTCATATAGCTGTAGGAGAGAAAATGGGATTTTCCAGAGCAGCCCAGCCAATATCGTAGACGTGTCCAGAAGGACAGAGCCATATGCTTGGTTTTCTCCTTGTGGCCCTAGCCACTCCCCAGATGGAAGAGAACTAGGATTGGAGTGGAGAATTGCCGACGTCCAGGGTTGGTGAAGGAGGACATGACGCTAATTATTGAAATGTTTCCCGGATTCTCATGTTTCTTTGTCTTTTTACTCCCCGTACCCTCCAGGCTCCATAGAATACCCTTCTCTGGCTTTTCCAGTTTGCACCTCGGAAGTATTTCGTCTCTCTTTGCTTCTAGGAAGTTAAGAACATAAATGTAACTCATCGGGTCATGTCGGTGGTTCATTTACATGAGTATTTTGTTGCCAAATGTGACCCCGAGGGAAACACAGTAATTATTTAATAATTTGAAGGATTATAGAGGAGTTCTGGGAGTTGGAATAGGAATGCATATTCAGGCGAGAGGCATTCCGCGCTGGCCTTAGCTTAATGACTTCATTTGATTTTTAATATAGGCATAAAAATGCAGACGAACCAGAGCTTTTGTAATGAAAATCATTTCTGAAGAAATACTTCAGACCCTGCTCTGTCACCTCCAGCCTTTCTGAGGGGGCGGAAAAAAGAGTTTCTGCCTCTGCCCATGCAGTGCTTAGATTTCACCTCCACAGAGGTCACTGACTCTGGAGGGAGATGACAGATGAGATTCTAGCCTGCCTCTTCCATGCCTTAACTCCACGAGAACAGGTCACATTCTCTTTCCTGGGGACTGTCGTCCCTTCATCTGAAAGCTGAGAGTTTGCTTCAGGATCTTCTAGTGTGTGAAATTGCACTGAAGCCACTGAACACCGGGTAATTGTACAATATTTTTGTGTCTTACAGTGATGTGGCATTTGGCGCCACTTCTAAGCCATCAGGCCACTTGTTGACATGACTCAGGGAAGATGGAATGGAACAGAGCGAGTCGTTAAATGGGGACCCAAAAATGCCGAATTGACGTGAGCTGGCTGGGTTCACTGTGAGGCAGGGAATCACCTGTCAGCCCCTTGCTGGATCGCTGTGAGGGGCACCTGGGAAGTGCTTGCCTTTCACAGAGCTGGTACTTAGCATGCTGAAGAAGATGGTGATTATACTAGACGGGCGGTTATTGCTAGGACGTGCAGGTGTGTTTGGCAAATATTGCTCCGAACTGAGCTGCAGGTGGCTGGAAATGCTGCAGAAAAGCAAGGCGTTTGAAAACCCTGCCCAGACCTTGCTCACGTTCAAATACCGTGCTAAATATTGTGATATGTAGACCCGTGCTTCTGTTTTCTAATCGTGCCCTTTTGGATGTATGTTAGGATGTCCTTCCACACCTGCGTTGTTGATACCAACTTTGTGAATTGTTTTTAATGGAAGTGTGAGCTCAGTGACCTCTTCTGTTTGTTTGCTAGGAATGTCTATAATGGAGTACCGCAAACCAAGTGACTTAAACAGCAGAAACCTACTGTCTCACGGTTCTGGAGGCTGGAAGTCCAAGATCAAGGTGTCGGCAGGGTTGGTTCCTTCTGTGGGCTGTGAGGGAGCGTGTGTTCCGCCCCTCTCTCCTAGCTTCTGGTGATTTACTGGCATTTTGTTGGAATGCTTTTGGCCTACCTTGGAAACATCAGTCTGATTTCTGCCTTCACCTTCACTTGGCTTCCGTTTTCTCTGTGTGATGGCTGTGTCCAAATTTTCCTTTCTTATAAGGACACACTGGCCATATTGGTTTAGGGGCCCATCTTTCTCCCGTAAGGGCTCATACTATTTAACTAATTACATTTTCAGTGGCCCTGTTTCCAAATAAGGTCATGTTCAGATGTACTGAGGACTGGGACTTCAACGTACGAATTTTGGGGAGGCACAAGTCACCCCATAGCAACCCTTCTTAGGGAGATATTTTGCTGATCAAAATATGAAGAAGCAGAAAGGAAATATTTAAAGAACAGGATGATGGGGTTGGGGGCAGGGGTGTCAAAGGGATTCTCCTGAAGTTGCTCCCAGTATTCAAAGCTGGGACAGTGTAAACAGCAAAATCAATAACAGTGTTGGATTATAACTCGAAATATAAATTGAATACCTGAGTCCAGCCTGATATAAATAAATGATTGAATAAAGAAACAAATAAATGAGAGAAGAGACACGTTTCCCATTCCAAATGCTTGATGTAGCTATTTCTCCACTGAAGGAGGTGGAACGGAACTGTTCCCTCCCGGAATGGCTGTGCTTAATGACCTACTTCTAAAGACAGAGCGTGGAATAGGTTGGAAAAGGAAGTTTAGAGTGGAAAAACCTGGTGAACACTTTGTTCCAGCTGATGAAAGCTGCCATCCTCAGTGATGTGCTGTTGATACCAGGAAGCTCTCGTAGGACAGCATCAGTTTGGCACTTCAGCTCTGTGGCCTTCCTCCCCAGACACATAACCCCAGTCTAGTCGTGGGGAAAACATCAAACAGTGATTTTGTCCTTCAACAGGGACATGCTGCAAAATAACCCGATCGTCCCTCCTCAAAGCCCCAAGGTCATCAGGGCAAGTCTGAGAATCTGTTGCAGACCAGAGGAGGCTAGGGGGACATGATGACCAGATGTGTCCGGTGACGTCCTGGATGGGATCCTGGAACAGTGAAAGGACATTAGGGGAAAACTTGCGAAATAGAAATTAACTGTGCAGTTTAGGTAATAGTGACAGTAGCATGCCACATGTTTAGAGCAGCACAATTCGCTTCTGCGAAGATACCGAACCAACCTGAGCACCCATCAGCCAACAACTGGATGAGGAAGATGTGGTGTATATACACTGTGGAATACTACTCAGCCATAAAAAGGAACAGAATAATGTCTTTTGCAGCAACTTGGATGGAGCGGAGGGCCTTATTCTAAATCAACTCAGGAATGGAAAACCAAATATCGTATGTTCTCACTTGTAAGTGGGAGCTAAACTGTGATGTGAGGAAGCAAAGGCATGAGAATGATACAGTGGACGCTGGGGACTCGGGGTGGGTGTAGGTTTGGAGCGGGATGAAAGATAAAAGACCACATATGGGGTGACAGGTGCAATAAAATCTCGGAAATCACCACTAAAGAAACACCATGTAACTACCACAAATCTCAGAAATCACCACTAAAGAAACACCACTAAAAATCGCCATGTAACTCAAAAACCATCTGTACCCCAAAAACTATTGAAATAAAAAAAATAGTTGTCTTCCAGTGTGTGACTAGTGTCTTGTAGTAATATGTGGTGTTAACATTAGGGAAACTAAGTGAGGGGTATACAGGAACTTTCTGTGCTAACTTTGTAACTTTTCTGTTAAAAAAAAAAAAAAGCTGCTGGTAAAAGAAAGTTTAAAAAAAAAAAAAAGCAGTCTCCAAAATGCAGATTCATTGAATTGATCGATTTTAAATATCCAAATCGTTTTTGGTAGAATGAAAAGTAAAATCACTGCATCCCTGAGAGTTGCCTGACCTACTTTAGTAAAGAGCTGCTTGTTAAGGGATCTCGCTTTTGCGTTATTGTCTGGAAGATCTGCTGAGCCACATGAGGGGTCTCTTTGCAGTTTGGATACCCCCGTTCTTGGAACATTAGTTTTGTGAAATGGCCCTCCACTGT